TCTCTCTCTCTCCCGTGCGACTTTCCTCCTTCTGTGTATTTCATTTTTTTTTCGTTTGTGTATTTCTTTTTTTTTTTTCCTTTTTTCTTTTATTGTTTTTCGGTAGTAGTAGTGTCATCCCTACAGAACCGGGGCCCGGCCTTAGCGCTACGACCGGGCCTTCCCGTGGCCGACTACCCTAAGGCTGCGGCGCGTATACGGGAAGGCCCGTGGCCGATAGCTGAGCGAGGTACTGGTGGTTTAAAAAAAAAAAAAAAAAAACGTTTGTCAGTTCCTTTAGCAACCATACAGTGCATTTCCTACCAGGGCTTGGGCTTGCGGGGGGAATGTGCGAATGGGTCTGGAAATTGGATGGGGGGCGGTGTGGCATTATCAGGTCCAGGTGAATACTAGTCTGTAATCCCTTTGTACCCTCCTTTTTTCCCCACTGGCTATCTCCCGTCTAGCCTCTTCTCTCTTGCCTTCCCACTTCATCGATGTCATCCATCCCCCTTGTACGCTCCCTTACCATTCTTTGCTAAAGGTTGTTATTGTCTTCTGAATTTCCGTGGGGTCGTTCAGGAATGCCAGTTTTTTTGCCACAGTCTGCCACCTTGTTTGCAGTTCCGATTGTATGTGTGACTTGATATGTTCAGCTATTTCCGGTCCTTCCACCCTTACCTTGTCCATGAGCAGCACACACCCTTTCTACCAGAGGCCCCACAGGGTTGCCCGCCTTCCCAACTGGAGCTTTATTGTGGGTGAGATTCCTTTTTTTCTTTTTTCTTTTTTCCCCTGTGGGCCGAGTTGTCTGTACTCCTTGCTCGGGGTGATGCCGTCCTATATAGGGTAGAGCTCCTGGGACTGTGCAAATCATCCATCCATGCATGCTGTTATTTTGGCCGGTATGGTGGGCAGTGGCATTTATATACATGCCACCAGGGTAAGACAGTGAGGGCTTTGGTTCACCTATGTAGTTCCAAAGGACGCTAAGCCTGATTCTCAGCAAAAAAGATCTATCAATGGGACGCTGGACCCAGTTTCCAGCAGGTGGCGCTCCCCACCAATAGACGGAGCAGCCCGGCAGATAAGCCCTCAATTCTGACAGTTCTCTTACCACCGCCGGGATAGAGGGCTTACACAAGGGCTTTTTCAACAAAAAAAGAAAAAAAGAAAAAGAAGTGAGGGCTCTGGTTTGCGATGGTTTTTGTTTGAATGGTTTCTTGAGAATGACCACACAGAATACTAAGGTTCTTGTTACGCTCACATAGACAATTCTGGAATCTTCTGTGTTTTTTTTTTTCCAGAATCTCTTGAAGGAGCCTAGAGGAGTTTCGTGATTACCCCCAGTACGTTTTACAGTGTTGGGAAAGGTGGGAATGTAATGTATACCGCATTCTTCGGGGACTGGGCCTGACGGCGGCCGCCGTTGATAAATGTCGCCGATGGCCGCCGTTCCATTTCGGAGGCACCCGTGACCGATGTAGGTGAAAGGTAGTGGTTCTTTAATCCACCAGTATGTTTCTCAGCCATTTTTCTCAAAGCGGCCATTAAAGTGATTAAACCACCAGTACTTGGCCCAGCTATTGATGCCGAGTCGGGATACCCCCTGCGCGCCAAGTTTTGCCGAGCCGCCGGGGCACCGTTTCGTTTTGATTTTGGCTGGAGCTTCCAGCCATTGTGGCTCAGTGCCCCGAAGCCCGCAACTACCGGCGCGTTAACGGGGATCGCCCGCGGTCGATAGCTGGGCCAAGTACTGGTGGTTTAACGCATCGTGACTTTTGGGGCTTCAGCATGCCAACCAAAAGATTTTTGTTTTTCACGCCCATACGGGGTTTTGGCAAAACTCTGTGCACGATGGGAATCCGCCTCGGGATAAAGGGGCTCGGAAGTACTGCAGATGTCCGCAACGAGACGGACACGACTTATTTCATGCGTGGAGCATGCATGAAAGACACCTGGAATGATGAACTCATTCCGGGGACCATAGCCTGTCGTGAAAGGAGATCACTGGATTTAGCCAGTCCTTGGAAGATCTCCGACCATGTCTTGAACCGGTTTGTGGCTCGACTCTCATCATGAAATCACCTTTCTAGGTCGGGTCCTAACGCAGGCTACGATTTAGAAAGGAAAAAAGAAAAGAAAAGAAAACAAGCTGAGATTTCAGTCAATGGGGCTCTGGCAGGTGGGTGGTCTGACACCCGCAGATGGGGGGACACCATTTTCGGTTGTAGAAACTAAAGGTAAGGCAGGTACCTTTCTTTTTTTTTCAGAAAGGGCGACAGTCTTGAGATATCATCATTGAACTGACCGGCCCCAGGCAATTCAGAATGATTTTATTCTCCACATCTGAGGGCATTTGGATTTGAACTTCAGTCTGTATTTCAACAGCTCAGGGTTGTACCAAGGCCCCTTGGTAAGGCAGGTACCTTTCTGCCTTTCTGTCTTTCTGCCTTACCTTTAGTTTGTATGACGTAAACGCTGTGTCGTCTTAGAATCTCTACAATACACTCTAAAGAGGTTTCCGCATTTGTGGTCTCGGAAAGGAGATCAGGGTGTAGTGCAACGAGGAGTGACCAATGATTACACAGAGCTTTCTGGGTGTGTCGAATGAGACCCCAACCTGTGACTG